TGTGCTTTTTCTAAAAATATATTCATGATAATTGTTCTGATTATCTTTCCTGTTTGGAACGTAGTCTTCATGATTTTACGCCTAGTATTACATTGGTGACAAGTTCTCATCATTTTACTGTTGCCATCACTAGATGTAACCGTAAATACTATGCTATTTTTTCTTCCCTTACTTATGGAACACTTTTCCGGCTTCTTGCTATCCATTCAACTTTGATCTTCAAAGGCAAAATGATTAGAAATATGACTTCATTAACTATTTATTTCCTAATTTATATTATTATTATATATATATATATATATATATATATATATATATATATATATATATTGAGTCTATATGTGTATGTCGAGGAGTGTATTTGTGCTTATGTGCACAATTTGCTGCATGAAAAAAAGAAGAAATATTTAACAATATTTTTCTTATGGATGAAATGATATTAGTTGTCAGCTGTTAAGATTTTTACAAAACTCTTTTTGACAATTATCGTCTTGACAAAGGTCAGCTGAAGGAGTGGCGCTTTCAAGAACCATGTCAACCGTGCCTGACAAAGAGGGTCGGCTGAGTGAAGCGGACGAAGAACCAGGTCAATAGATGTTTTAGACGAAAGCTGACGGGACAAAGTGGGCCTGTTCTCTCTAAGACAGTGGTCTTTGGTTGCGTAAAAGAGACACCTGTTCACCCGCCACGCGAAAGGAAGGCACACGCCGGTTAAACCGTTCGCCCCCTCACCTCGGCTTACTTTTCCTCGGTCGCCTACAGATCATTTCATCCTTATAAGAAGGTTACAGCTGAATAATATTTGCCAACTGCTACAATTTTGTCTCATGATTTTATTTCTTGCGTAGAGATCCGACCAAAGAATTATTTTTCATAAGCGTCGACTAGATTAAGTTGCACAGTATGTTTTAGTGTTTAATTTCGCGTATCTGTTTTACCGATAAAGTTATACCCATGAATCAGTGTCTTTCTTTTTGGTTTGATATTTTATCATACGTGTTTCAATTTTGGTTCATGGTGACTTTCATGGTAGAACAGTTTACTGGCTTTCCGGTTCCTTTTGTACCGGGGATGCTGAAGTTACTCCGTCCCACCTCTCAGAAGTTAAAATGACCAAATCGACAAAGCTGCAGATGGTTTGAATTCAGAGGTTTCTGCCTCCTATACCGGTTGCCGCCCAAGGTTATAGGGTCCAGTCTGGGTGAATAGGGAAGGATCCCTAAAATCCGTAAATTAATGCAATGAAGTGAAATTCGAATTCAATCCGAGCAGCTATCCATCACTCAACCGTGCCTCACCTTTGTACATTACTTAAAAGATATCCCCTAATATGGGGACTTTGAGAGCACGGTATTGTCAATCACTATTGAGTTATGCGTATATGTTGGGGTCCTGTTGATTCCCATTCTGTCGAGCACCTTCTAGATAATCCTTGAGTCTTTTCTTTTGTTTGGGATTTTTTCGGCATTTCCATCATAGACGTGTGGGCTTTTCTACATTCGGTGAGTTTAGTTGGTGTGTGCATATTATTACACATCAGCTCATCACCCTCATTGCAAATTATTGAGCCAGCCAAAGGGGTATAAAATGCTAATTTCACGAAAAACACTTACCGAGTTACTGCCTGGTCATTGCGTGCAAAATGCATGGAACTATTAGTAGTGGTTGGTCATTGTACACCGGAAAGTTATTAGGAATATATATATATATATATATATATATATATATATATATATATATATATATATATGTGTGTGTGTGTGTGTGTGTGTGTGTGTGTGTGTGTGTGTATTTAGTCAGCTGTCCTTCTTTCATCCACATTTCATTGAATGCGACAAAGTGCTTTTATTTAGTTTTTTATACAGTTTCTCATGGGATCTATTTTTTTTTCTTTCGGATGATAAATTATATAACAACCATCCGAATGTTCTTTTTATCCGAGCCCTTTCGGCTATACATTTAGCCATTTTCAAGGATTATATTTTAACTGTTAAAATAAGAAATAGTTTGTTGTATGTATGTTTTATAAAATGTTTTCATTTTTCAAAACCCGGTCAAGATATTATATCCATTTTCAAAGTTAATATTATTATGTGTTGGTTTTTTGTTTTTAATAAGGCTTCCATTATTTTTAGCCTTTTTTGCATGTAGATGATGCTTTTATATTAGTCTTGTCAACAAGTATGTTACAAATAATGTCCGGTAGGTCTCCATGAATCTTTAAATGAGATCTAATTGAGCTATGGTCAGAAACGTGTAGAGTGAGTCTGCCTGTCAAACATGTACGTCATTAGAGGATGGTTGAAGGACTTAAAGTGTATTTAGTTCATTTTGAATCTGAAACAATCGTGTCTGTTTCTGTCAACAACCAAATTTTCAATTCTGACATATTTCATTCAACAAATAATTTCTAAACAATAATAAAAGAGAACATTTTTAAAGATTTTGAAATTAGCGAAAAAGTTTCCCTAGGTTTTTTTATATAATTAACCAAGAAATTTAAATTAAAATACCTAAGAAATTTGAATTAAATGATTATTAATTATATTCAGAGAAACATGTTTACATCTCGAGTATCTTAGATGCATTTATTAATATTTAGCAGGATATGAATGTATTTTAAACTAAGGAAAAGTTAGATCGATGTTAATTCCCTGTATTTCATTCAACAAATTATGTAAATAATATAAAAAAGATATCTGGTTCAGAACATTTTTAAAGGTTTTTCGAAATTAGCGAATTTAAAAAAAAAATAAATGTAAATTAGTATAAGTTTACTGTGTCTCTTGACATAGAGTTTTCCCTGGATCTATATCCTCCTGGAAATTCCATACGATTACCATATATATATAATAGTTGAGATGGAAACATGAACGAATTAGTCGATGATTAGATTAATAAAGACAATGGAATGTTTAATGCTGGAAATATGCTTTAGTTGTCCTCATCACTGGTATAATAATAGATGATTTCAATGCATATGAAGGACAAACATCCGTAAATAAATCAATAACTTTGTAGTCTAATGTTGAAGAAAACTAACATGTATTTCACAGAATAGATATTTATGTATCAGCTTGATAGTAGAAGTAAAATTTAGTGCTTAATATTACTCATACAGATTAAAAATGAAATCAAATTCAAATTAATCACGTAGGCGATGAACGCATTGATCCATTCAGGTGCGTGTATATGCTTATAAATACACAGTGCGATGTGTGTTTATTCCGTTTAGACAGATGAGTGGCGAAGATGACTGTTAGACAGAAATCAACAAATTGAGAGAGGATGATGTTTTGGCTTGTTTTAACTTTCTTTTTAATTCTCGAATATTTTGCATTATTTTTTCTAACTCTGTTTAATCATGATATGGTTTTAGTAATATTTTCATTCAAAGAAAATGCTTCCATTTGAATTTCAGTCAGAAGGAAATTACTTTTCTTTCAAGTTCGTCCTCAAAGGGAACTTCACTCTGATTTTCACTATTCAAATTTTACAATTTATTCTCTTTGACTATTTCAGATTTTTAAGCGAAAAGTGAGATGGATCTTGTCTTGTTTATAAGGTTTTACTATTATTATTATTATTATTGTTTGTTTGTTTTTTCTTTGTTGTGTTGGGGTGGAGCTAAGTTAGATGTTGAATGTTTTCCTAAATCTTATTTTTGAATGGCGTTTTTTTTAATCCGTTCAGTATTATTTTTCGAAGTCTTAAACTATGACACCTGAAATTACCGTTGCTATATTTTTTCGCTTTTTTTTTCTTCATTTTGTTGATTTTATTTATTTGTCTCGTTTTTCTTCTTTTTTATCGTTGTTGTTTTTATTTATTTTTGTACGCCTTCTTATTTGGGGAAATCATTTTTTTCCACTTAGTATTTATTTTTCGTGTACTATTTAACTCTTCCGTTCGAATGTGGGGCTTCCGGAATTTTCTCCTGCTTTCTTTAAAGCCGATATATTATTGAACAAAAAATCAAACAAAATAAGTTTCAGCTGAAATGTCTCGAATGTCTCGGAATTGTTAAGCGGAGTGTCGAATTCCAATTTCCGTTGAGGGTCGTTATATTCACTTACGCGCAAATACCCTTTGGAAAGATAGGTATCCACCTCTTCTCCCCCAGCTAAGGGTTAGTTAATAAGGCTTGTATCGTTAAACCATTATCTTTGAAAACTTCTTACAATCTAAAAGTATTTTTTGCCTTTATATAACCCGCACCGATTATTAAATAAGCCATAGAAAACGAATCGATCAATCTGAGAATCACCATCTAACAAGTTTCAGTTAGTTCTCTTCTTTGTACGAAGGCTACATTTGGACTGAATGATTCGTTTTAATTTCAGAGTCGCAGTTAATCTTTGGAGGAATAGATTCTGGCTAACTTCTATACCAAATAATATACACACGGAGGAGGCACGGTGGAGTAATGGATAGCGGCTTGGATTGAGGAATCAGAGAACCGAGTCCGCGTGTCGATACCGAGACTGCTGCAAGCCCATTGGTCGTTTTCACAGAGCTTGGGGCCTGTCCAATCATCGCGCAGGATTTCTCAGACCTTATAGCGCCCGCGTGATCGCGCGTCAGCTTATATGTAAGTGCGCTCAAGGTCAACCACCTCTATTGCGAGACTCGGGCGTGCTTTCACACTTTTGCGTTTATTGTTGCCCGCGTACACGCACTTGGCTTACTTTATTCGCCTACTTCGGACACCGCAAGTTGTTGATTACGTGTTCTAGCTGCTTTTTTATTTTATAGTTCCAACCCAACCCCACACACGTTAGCCAATTGTACTAAAAACCCATTTCCTTTTGGATTTACCCTTGGTTTACCCTTTTTAAATTTCCACTTTTTTAGTTTCGAGTTCCCCTTTAGTAACATCTGAACTCATTTTACTGGTTGTTCCCAATTTTGTGTCTGCGTTAGCAGTGCACGTTTTTTCGTTTTGGATTTGTCGAAATCTCTTTTAAAGCTTTACCCTCTTTGACGTTTTTACTGTTTGGATGCCACCTAAAAGGAGGAAACTTTTGGGACGGCGCACGGCAGCTGCCTCCGGGGCTAGAGCAGCGAGGGCGAGTGAAACCCCTGAACAGACTTCTTTGCGTCTTTCACGGATCGCCTCGAGCTCAGCTGCTCGCTTATCTACGAAAAGCGCCGCTGCGCGGACTGAATGGTTGGCTTCAACGGTTTCAACCATGTCCGCACGCCGCGCCAGGCTTTTAGCTGAAGAACGTTCACTTCAGAATTCACAGGACGCAGTCCGTGTGGATAGATTGAGGGCTTCACAGTCCCTAGCACAGAAAAACCAAAGTCGTTTGCGGGATGCCACCGCCAAAGCTTGCTCCAGGGATTTAGAAAGCCCCGAACAAACAACTTCACGTCGTCTTAGGAATACTAGGGCTACAGCCGCCTCTAGAGCTTCGGAAACAACCCCAAGAAACTGCACATCGTCGCTTTAGAAATGCCTTATCCACCGCGTCTGCCAGAGTTTTAGAAAGCCCTCCACAGACCACTGTCCGTAGCGTTAGAAATGCCCGCTCCACTGCATCTGCTAGAGCCCTAGATAGCCCTGCACAAACCACTGTTCGTCGCGTTAAAAATGCCCGCTCTACTGCGTCTGCCAGGGCTGCAGAAAACTCTGAAGTACGCCGTCAACGGCTCGAAAACATTAGCCAATTTCGAGCTTCTTTGAATGGCGTAAATTCGCCGTCTGCGTCATTTTGGTCAAATGCCGCATACAATTATAACTGCACTGTCAACTATTCCCCTTGGAGAGACGTACAAACAGGGGCGATGGATAAAGTTTGCACTTTTTGCAATGCAAAAAAGTGGGCCGCTGAGCAATCTGGGCTTTGTTGCTCTGGGGGCAAAATCAAACTCCCTTCTTTAGACGAACCTCCCCGGCCGCTTAGGGACCTCCTTCTGGATACAACTTCGGAGTCAACGCATTTTCTTGAAGCAATACGTAAATACAACTGTTGCTTCCAGATGACGTCTTTTGGTGCGAAGGCTATTAGTGAGGGGGGATTGATGCCTACTTTCAAAGTGCAAGGCCAGGTTTACCACTTAATGGGATCACTTTTGGCTGATCAGGGAGAGCCATCTTAGTTCCTACAAATTTACTTTCTCGCTGACTACAACGAGCAGGTTGATGCGCGTCTAGGAATTCTGCCTAGCAATATTTCCGTCGGTCCCCGTAGAGACATTCTGTTCCGTCTACAAGACATGCTTCACGAAACTAACAGTTACACCCGAAGCTTAAAGTTTGCGTTGCAAAACAACTCTTCGCCCTCTTTCACCGTTGTCATCGATGCAGACAGACGGCCTCAAGGTGAGCGTGAGCGTGAGCGTCGCTTCAATGCTCCTGCATGTAATGAAGTCGCCGCAGTCATCCACGGTGAGGAGCATAACAGCCGTGACATTATCATAAGGTACCGGGGCGGTGGTCTGCGCTGCATCAGTGAAACCCACCGTTCATACGACTGTCTCCAAGACCCCCTTCTTTTTCCATACGGAAGCGATGGGTACCACTTCAAAATCCCAATATAGCAGGCAAGCAGCGATTCCATGTCGACCTCAAAGACGGTCTCCTGTAGGGCTTACTAAGCCTACATATTTATGCTTAGGGAGTGTGAATTTAACCACTTGCACAGGTGCCGTCAACTATTTCTTCAATTCGCTGTTGACATGGCTGCAAAAATGGAGTCGGAGAAGTTAGGATTCATCAAGTTAAACCAATCCAAACTTAGAACCGACTCCTACATTCACCTTCGTGATGGTCTGCGTTCTGATGGTGACCCACGCAATCTCGGCAAACCGTGCATTTTGCCTTCCTTTTACATTGGTGGCTCTCGATACAGGCATGAAAGGACACAAGACGCAATGGCCTATGTCCGTCATTACGAGAGGCCTAATTTGTTCGTCACGTTCACGTGCAATCCGAAATGGGTTGAAATCACACGAACTTTTTCCAGGTCAGCAGTACTCACACCGCCCTGACCTAATTGCCCGCGTTTTTCCGGTTACAGCTGCGTAAGGTTATGGATTTAATCCTTAAAGGGCAAGTCTTCGGACGCGTTAAGTGCCATATGTATACAGTGGAATGGCAGAAACGCGGTTTGCCTCATGCCCACATTCTGCTGTGGCTCAACGATAAGGTTGACGCAAACAAAATAGACGATTTTATTTCTGCTGAAATTCCGGATCTTGCGCTAGATCCTTTGCTCCACGAAATCATTAAAAACAGTATGATACACGGCCCCTGTGGCGCGAATTACGAAAAAGGGTTATGTTGGTCAAGCGGCCCCACTTGCGCAAAGGTTAACCCCGTAAGTTTATCTCAGAAACGCAGACTGCGACGGATGGTTACCCACTGTACAGACGTAGAAGGCCTGCTGAGGGCGGCAGAACTGTGACAGTTAAGAGGCACACTCTGGACAATCGTTGGGTAGTGCCTTATTGCCCGCTGCTGTCCAAGACTTTTGGAGCCGACATAAACGTTGAATACTGCCACTCGGTTAAGTCAATATAGTACATCTGCAAGTACGTTAATAAAGGCAGCGATGCTGCCGTTTTCGGTATCCGGCACGACAATTGCGTTGACGAGGTGGCCGATTACGTGGCTGGACGCTACCTCAGCAGTAGCGTGGCCTTCTGGCGATTTTCAGATTCCCCATACACCAAAGGGCTTCAGCCATTGTGCAGCTTGCTGTTCACCGAACAAAACGTCCAGCAGGTTGCGGAAAACCCTAAAGACACAACCCTAACGGCTTTCTTTAAATTATGCTCAACAGATGATTTTGCCAAAACATTGATATACCCCCAAATCCCTATCGAGGTTTATCCCGATGTAAGGTCTAACCCTTGCCTTGGACGCGATCCTCTGTCGCTCTGGCTAAAGTACAGAGAATACATGTCAGAGGATGTGGTGTTCTCCGTTCAGCGTAACAGCCCAGGAGATGAATGCGGTTTCACTGACTTCATATTCAACAGAGCGCTGGTGGCCCTAGAAGATGTTGTTTTCGAACTGGGAGGTGCCTCTTTACCAACTTACGGTTTGCCACCACCGCTCAGAGACGGTTTTGACACTGTACCAACTGAGTTATTACGGGAATCATCCTACTCCATCGAGGGGCTGAACGCATACATTACCGAAAACGAGCCCATACTTCTACCTGATCAGAGGGTTGCTTTCACTATCATAACAGACAGGGCAAACGGCTCCAGTGGAAGTATATACTTTTTAGATGCGCCCGGAGGAACTGTCAAAACTTTTGTTACTAAATTAGTCCTGGCAGAGGTACGGCGTCGTGGGGAGATTGCTATTGCGCTCGCATCTTCCGGGATTGCTGCAACGTTGCTACCGGGAGGTAGGACCGCTCATTCGGCTTTTAGGTTGCCGCTTGATATATGCCGGTCACAAACTCCTCTCTGCAACATAACAGAGAATTCGCCACAGGCTGAAGTTCTGCGGAGATGCAACCTTATAGTTTGGGATGAGCGCACGATGGCGCACAAGGGCGCTCTTGAAGTCTCCAAGACATCCGCGACTCCTCCGACCCCATGGGTTGAGTAACCCTTCTCCTCGTAGGCGACTTTAGGCAGACTCTACCTGTTATTCCTAAAGGTACACACACTGACGCTGTCCGCGCCTGCCTGAAGTCGTCTGCCCTTTGGCGCCACGTGGAGACTCTTAAACTGAGCACGAACATGCGTACCTACTTGAATGGGGACTCCAGATTCGCTGAATTCGCACGGGACCTTCTTGCTCTTGGGGAGGGGAAAATGCCATCTGACACACAGGGTTTTGTGCAGATGAATCAGCTTGCCACCACTGTTGAATCACCGGATGAATTGATGAATGCAGTCTTCTACAACCTATCCACTAATTTTGCCGATGCCGATTGGCTTGCTGGGCGGGCCATATTGGCACCGAAGAACTGTACAGTTGATTCCATCAACCTTAAACTGTTGGATTGCATTCCCGGCCAATGTCATGTTTATAAGTCCATCGACAGAACATCCGATCCATCTGAATTAGCTGAGTATCCCATAGAAGTTTTGAACTCCCTTCAGCCGTCCGGACTCCCACCTCATATTCTTCGGTTCAAAGTTGGTGCTTCGATTATGCTAATCAGGAAGTCTCTCCCACCTAAACAGTGCAACGGGACTTGCCTCATTATTAAATCCCTGTCTCCGAACCTGATTGAGGCGACCATTGCAACTGGCTGCTGCAAGGGGAAGTCGTTCTGATTCCCAGGATAAATCTTCTGCCGTCAGACGCAAGCATACCAATCAATTTTCGTCGCTCACAATTTCCCGTGAAGCTTTGCTTTGCTATGTCCATTAACAAATCACAAGAACAGACGCTTAGCATCGCAGGTCTGCATTTACGTGAGCAGTGCTTCTCTCACGGCCAACTTTACGTTGGGGGCTCATGAGTTGGGTCTAAGGACAGGGTTTTCATTTAATCTCCCAACAACTGTGCTAGAAACATAACCTATACGGAGGTCCTGTAGACAACCCACGTATTTGGCAGTCGATGTGTGTTGTTGTTCGGAACTCATAAATAATGGACAGTCAGAGGTTAAGAAATAATATAAGAGTTACTTAACAAAAAAATTAATAAGGTTAATATATTATGAACCTATTTTCTTTGTATGTAAAAATATGTAATGAAAAAGTATGCATCACGTTGCTTTTTTTATAGTTATACACGTCTTTTATAGTGTGTGTGTGTGTGTGTGTGTTTGCAAGAACTTATTTGCGTTAATATGTGTATGAATGTATTAATTTTTTCTCGTTTCTCCCCTTTCTCTCACCTGTTCACACCTCTTTCTATCTCTCTCTTTCTATCTCTCTCTCTCTATCTCTCTCTTTCTATCTCTCTCTTTCTCTTTCTCACTTTTCTCTGTCTTCACTCCCCCTCTCATTTTTCTATCTCATTCTTAACGCACCTCTCTTTCGCTCAAGTTGTCATGATCTCTAATCCGATTGCCCATTAGTTCGATCCTCATTGGGGGTCCGATACTTGTAGCCTAGATCCAAAGATAAACTATGTTTAATAAATAATAACTTTATCATTCTCTCTCGCATCTGCCTCCTTTCTTCACTCTCTTATTTCACACTTCAATTGCACTCTTTCTTACTACTTTGTACTTTCCTTCTGTTTATCCTTTTAATATATGTACTCATGTTACAAGTTGGTCAATGATCAATCATGGCCATCAGTCAGTAATTATCTAAGTTGTCTTTTCCCTAGTTTTATGGCTTTCCTCCCCAACCCCACCTGCTTGCCCACTTAGTCTCTTCACAAATAATTAAGAAAAAAGAGTAAATAAAGTTGTTGTTTTTTACATTTATTATTATTATTATTATTATTATTATTATTATTATTATTATTATTATTCTCTTTGAAATCGATACTCGAATTGTTTGATTCATTAGAGAAAAAGAAAATCGAAATCCGTATATCCGGTTTAATGTTATTGTTGTTGTCAAACGGATGATAGGTTTGTGGTGCGTTTTAGTTGGAAATCGTTTTGCGAAAACGTATTGGGTTTTAAAATGTCTATATCGCAATAATAAAAAAAACTGATTAAAAACTATTCGAAAAATTGATTTAATGAATGAATGATATATTGGAAATTGATCTTTACTGGGGTAGAAAATGTGTACAAATCAATATCTTAAAATAACTACTTTAACGTTCATGTTTTCAATTATAAAAGATTTTTTAAATTCCTATTATTGAGGAAATTTGAGCCTTTTGTTTTTACCGTAGCTGCTCGTAATAGAAATAATCCCTCTACCTTAAGTAATGCGATTTAAAAACCGTGTAAATGTTTCAAAGTGAACCAAAGTATGAAAGGTTGAAAGAAAAAAAAACGAAACTCTACGAAGAAATGAGAAAAAATAAAGACGTATTGACTGCCTAATTCAAGACAAGTGGATGACATTGTGTTGACAGTAAACTCAGGAAGATAGTTGAGAGAATTATTAGACACGTTAATGAAGAAAAGCAAGAAGTAACTATTAACTCTAAAAAGACCGAAAGTATGTCTGTCAGCAAATGATACAGCCCAAGTTTTCGGCAATGTAATGGGATTTCAAAACGAAGCAGGTGCAATAACTTTACTATTTATGGTGTGTAGTAACAGTAGCAGAGGACGGAAAATGTGTCATCGAAATCCGAAGGTGCATTAATACAGAGGAAGTTGTCTTACGGAAAATAAGCAATGTATTAAGACATGAAAATATTCTTTGAAAGAAACAAAAATGTGTTGAATTGCTACGTAGTGTCTAATCTCTTATATGGTAATAAAAGCTGAAAATTTTTCTCACATACGGAGAAGAAACTTGAAGTGACAGAGATATTGTTCTACCAACGAATTCTAAGAATTCAATGGCTACGATATTTTAGCAACAAGGATGTTTTCAGTAAAATACGAACAACAAGGAAATTTATATTTTCTAACCATTTTATCCAGTTTATTTCTTGAACAGCGACATGCCTTGACAAATCTGTTCTTTCATGTTTACAGTTAGTAAACCGAGTGATCTGTTAAAATTTCAAAGTTCCCGAGGATTTTCTATTTTTCATTCTTTAATACAGAAACTGTGTGACGAAAGACATGACTTACCTCAGAATTCGAAACAAGCTGATAAAAAGAAATATGGCCGCTATTGAAGACACCATTTATACGCACCTATCTCGTCCGGGACGATATTTGCGCACATGCAAATTTAGGCCGTATTAGTTACTACAATATAGAAAAACCGATATTATGTATTCAGATAAAGGTCACATTTGAGATACAGAATTTAGAAGTATCTTATTCTGTTCTGGATGGGGATAAATTGACACTCTTATCCTGCTTTTGAAGGTTTTGAAACTACATTCATTGAAATCATCTTTTATGTTTTGTCTTTTAGCATGTTATTCACATAGATAGATAGACAATAATAATACTCTTATAAATATAAGTAATTATTCTCGT